TCAGTAGAACAGATTTCCTCGGGAGGTGGTGGGCTCTCCTTCTTTGGAGGTTTTCAAACTGAGGCTAAATGGCCATATGACAGCTATGCTGATTCTGTGATCAGCAGATCATGAGAGGGAGGGCAGGAAGGGTTGCCTCAGTGCTTAGTTCTTGTGGCCCTTTCTTACATGCCCATGGAAATGCTGATTGCCACTTTGGGGTCAGGAAGCAATTTTTCTCCAGGCCAATTTGGCTAGGGATCCTGGAGGGTTTTTTATCATCTTCTGGATGTGGAGCAGCGGTCCCTGCACATGTGGAGGGGGAGGTATTTGTTAATTTCTTGCATTGTGCAGGGGGTTGGACTAGATGACCCTGAGGGTCTCTTCCAACTCTGATTCCATGATTCTTATTGAAAATACTTCATTAATGTAGCAAGCTACAAGGAGATTCTACTATCATATATATTTATTTCTATGTGGCTTTGTTAGCATGAACACCCTAGCATAAAGCTGCAATCCTAAATGAACTTAAATGCTTCTTAAGTCCCTTGATATATAATGTATTTCAGAGAGATTTAGAAGACCTTAAAATTTAAATATTTCTTTAACTTAATTTTTTATAGTAAGTGCTGTGTATAGATGCCTCAATTGATATCTCAGATATATATTTGGCTCTGTGGATACTGTTCTTCCACCAAAGTTATTTCTGAAGCTCTCAGTGGTTCCAGTGATCTATGGATATCTCATGGATCCAAATGGCTTAATTGTATCTGGATTTCTGCTCCATGACTAGCATTTCAGCTCCTCCCAATAAGCATTTTGCTGCAAACATGAGCTTTATGGTTGAAGAAGCTTCTTATCAGCTTTGACAAATCTTTAGAGAAATAGTATATGCTATTTTAACAGTAAGGTGAAACAGAGGTTACTTTAAATTTCATTCTAGGACAAAAAAGTACTAGTTTCAGAGATGTACAGTATTGCAAAAGGCAGCTTCTCGTTTTCTGTTTACTTATCTGTTTTTGGTTTCCCTAATGAAGAAGCCACACACTATTTATCTTTTCTTCACAATATAATCAAATAACCCTCAACTGGTCATTCCCCCCCCCTCTGTGCAATAGTTAGGAAGCTAAAGAGAATGAAGTGGTACTAATGGCCTGTTCTATTTGGTAGTCAATAAATATCCACAGCAGGTTGCTCTTCTACTAATAAAATCAAGAAGATTGTATTTTTTAGAAATAAATGACAGAAGCATTAAACAGACTTCTTTATGAGCATGCCTTAAGTTTTCATGTAATGTAGGTCAAAAGTCTCCTATTAGACAGAGAAGGTATTTAGTCTATAGAAATTACATGACCAGAATTAAGGCAGAATTAAGGCAGATTTGGGACCACACAGATGATGCTCCCACCTTTTTAAAATAGGAAACATTATAAAGAGAGTGCAAAATACTGGGAAGAATGTCCATATGAAAACCTGTAGTACACTGATGCTCTTTTCTTATAGTATTGGGGGTGGCATACCAAACAGTGAACCCTTGGCAAGTTTGGTCCATTGGGTAGACCTCTAAACCTGAATGTCAAGCTTTAAATGACAGCTTTAAATGAATAGTGTTTCTACAAGTCTACAATTTCTGGGAACAGTTCTATATGTAATAGGAAGTGGGTTTCTAAATCTCTGGATTCTCATTCTCTCTCTGGTCCTTTCTGCACTTGGATCTCATCTCTGGTTTTATCAGAGTTCAACTTGCAACGCAATACCTTACATTTATCCCTGGTTATAACAGCATCTGTTTATCCTGGGAGAAGTGTGGGGCAAAACCGGAGTGGCCTCAATGTAATGTGGAAACAAAAAAATACCCAGAGATAATTACAGGGGTGAACTTACGTGTAGTGTAGAATGTAAGTTTGGGGACAGGGTTGAACCAGAATTTAAGGTCTAGTGTGGAAAGGACCTCTCTCTCCAGAAAAGCAGGCACATGACTTAACTCCTTTCATATGGCTTTTTTAGATTCAGGAATGATTTCCAGGAACATTTCTTTAATATAATTAGGGTTACCATTCCCCAGGTGGGGGTGGGGGATCACCAACTTTTTCATGCTCCCCACCCCCAAAGAGTGATGTTGTGTGCAATGCACTGACATCACCAGGAAGTGATATAGGTGCATTGGTGATATGATACTCTGGTTTGAGGGTGATTTTACCATAGAGTAAAACACAGCAAAGAGCATTGCCTCTGACATCACCAGCATGCCTAAGTCACTTCTGGGTGAGATATGCACATCAGACGACATCCCCGCTGGCGTGACAATTGGACCTGGCAACCCTAAATATTATATTCTAAGCAATCATCAGACAATGAATGTTTCGTTTTGTCCTCCACCATGTTTAGCATTCATATGCATGAAGCCAATGGTAGTGATCAGCAGGAGATTTGGCGCGGTGTGTTACTGATATAACTGATTATACACAGCTCTGTCTCTCAACCTAATTCCAACAAGGTGGTGGAAGTGCTGAGCTAGTGCCAAGAGGCAGCCAAGGATTAAATGGAGGTAAATTGACTGAAACTTAATCCACATAAAATGGAATTGCTTTTGGAGTTGGAGTAAAGATATCATGGATATTGGTGTACAGCTTGTTCTGGAAGGCATATAATCTGAAGGTGCTCTTGAACTATTCCCTGTCCCTGAACAGACAAGTGGCAAAGGTGTCTATGAGTGCTTTTTATCAGCTGTGGCCATCCCTGGAGCTGTAATGTGTTCGATGTGGAACTGACTTTGAAGAGGCTATAGCTGGACACCCCAACTGCTATAAAATACAATGGCCAAAATGATATCAGAGCACCACCACACTGATCATACAAACCCAGTGTTATACAGCCAGCTACACTAATTTTGAGCTTGTTTCCAGGTCTAATTGCTGGTTTTTTAAAAAAACAAACCTTTAAAGCCCTGAATTGCTTTGGTCCAAAGGACCTGAAAGACCTTTTCCACCTGTATGAATTTAGGGAAACCTGAGATCATCAAGGTTTTGCTGCTTTTGGAAGTTCAACTAGTGGGGCCTTGCAGGAAGGCCTCCTTGGCTGCCACCCATAAACTGTGGAATTCCCTCCTGAAAGAAGTATGGTTGGTAGCATTATTATTATAGATAACACAAAAGTATCACTTGAAGACAGATCTGTTCAGGAGGGCCTTTAAGGAAAATTAATTTTTCCTAGGATTTTAATTATTTTAAATTAAGGTCTTATTTTTATTTCTTTTGTGTTTCATTCTGAGAGTCACTGTTCCTGAATGGAAAGGCACCATAGAAATACATAAACCAAATACAGTTATAAATAATACTAATATTCAGACCACTGATTAGCTCATTGGGAGGCATTTACAAAGTAGCTGTATGTCCAGTTTTAGAGTGGTTTGAACTTTTTTGCCTCCCAAAATGGGCTTTTCAGCTCAACCACAATTCTAGACACGGCAGTAGTTCTTCATTGCAGTAGGTCATGAAAGTAAGTAACAAATCTCATAAGAACTTCCTTATCATAAAAGATTAGTTTCTGAGGACCAATGCTATGCTATGCTATGCTCATATATGCTATGCTCACATAAAGGTTTTCTTGACATGTATTAGGGCTTTAAAGTATAGGTTTCAAGATATTTTTACAGGGATAGATCCTATGAACTGTGAATGGAAGGTACTCACAGAGATGGACATTCTTCACCTTCTCCTTCAACCAACAGTCCCTTGCGATTCCAAAAAAACCCTGATACTGGTCAGGGGAGCCATGTAGGCAAAATGCTTTTTTGAAGTCACAGGAGGCTGATGGGGAAAATAGAGAGGGTTTGAGTCCATAAGCAGCTTGAACTTGTGATTTGGAGGACCCATTCCCTTCGTTTTAAATTCTTGTACCTGAAGATTCTTGTATTGGCTTTCAAAGGGAAATGGATGATTTATTATGTTTTATCCAATTTTTTCAAAGATTTGATATTTCCCCTCAAATATTTGAAAAAAAATTGAATGATGGTGCTGGAGAAGACTCTTGAGAGTGCCTTGGACTGCAAGGAGATCAAATCAGTCAATCCTAAAAGAAATCAAACCTGACTGTTCCCTGGAAGGCCAGATACTGAAGCTGAAGCTCAAATATTTTGGCCACCAAATGACAGGGGAGCACTCACTGGAGAAGACATTGATGCTGGGAAAGACTGAAGGTAAAAGAAGAAGGATGAGACGGTTAGACAGTGTTATCGATGCAATGATGCAACGAACATGAAATTGAGCAAACTCCAGAGGATGACAGAAGACAGGAGGGCCTGGCGTGATGTGGTCCATGGGGTCACGAAGAATCAGACTCAACTGTGCAACTGAACAACAACAAATTCAATTTTTCCAAAGATTTACTACCTACAATTGTAGCTGTATCTTAAACTGTGTGAAAATATAATGTTGGATGGCAATTTGCATGGCTAATTAGAAGAGCAGACACATGAAAATGGTGATAGAAACTAGAGCTGTGTGTATGTAAGGTTGAAGTTGTTGCCAGTTATGGAGAATCCAGCTATTTATATAATCAGTGGGGTAATACTAGTGCTGCCATGTCACATCATTTGAATAATCAAACATGGAGTAGGAATGCAAGTCATTAATTCCTAATGGCTATCATATGTACTAATTTCAGTTCTCAGCACGGGTATGACAAACAGAATCATACTATATTTCTACAAAACAACCAACCCTTTTTGGTTATTTTTACTGTTTTAGAGCAGATTTGAAATTGTTCTTTGCTGCCTTCAGAAGCCATTTTAAAAAATATTAGGCAAGACTGAGGTTTGTTTAGATACATACGGTAATTTTGCTTTTACACACTAAGTGATAATGGAGAAATAGTATATTTAGCCTGCACAAGCTTCTCCACAAAAGCACTCTCCATTGTGTGTTTTATATGAATAACTGCCAGCCAGATAGATACCTCAGAGTAAGTTTATACCTTAATAATATGTTTGTGGACATCCTGAAGACACTGCTGAGGAAATGGATCATCAAAGCCTGCTCATAAAGCATGGAGCATGATGCAGACAAATTTGAAGATATATAGCAAGTCTATCAAGGTGTCAAACAGGGAGCTAAGGAGCAGGACAGTTTAAGACCCTACAGGGCTGATCATGAAGCCAGCTGATGGTCAGAGCTGATAGCCCATGTTTATATGGACCATGGCTCTGATTTGGTATGTCAATATATACAGTTCTAGAAAACGGAGCAGTAACAAACATTCTGTGAGTAAAAACCATGAAGGCATTTCCTTCCTTATCTAATGCGTCATCCTTGCATTTATATGCACACTGAGGGCCTGATCATGCATCCGGGAGCTCCCAGGTTTCCCAGAAGCTGATGGGAACTCAAGCTATCTAACAAGCTTATATTAGTCTTTCCCTCAGTAAAACCCCAGTTAAGGAAAATAAATCAAAAGAGCATTGTGAATATTTCAGGAGCTATGCATCAGTAAAGACTGTAACTTCAGAATTCATGTCATCACCAGGAGGAATTCCTGAATCCAGAGATGACATCTCCACGGCTAGTCATACCTGATGGTTAGTCCTATCCACTGTGTTGGCAGTGGAGGCATGCTCATGAGTGTTTTGTCGAATTCGGGTGGAGTTTTGTTGCTCAATTGTTGAAGTTGTTGGGATGCAGAATTCTCTGAAACACCTTTTGAAGTTTTCATCTAGAAACGCATAAAGCACGGGATTAAGGCAGCTATTTGTGTACCCTAAAGCAATGCAGAAGTGCCAGGATACAGTCTGGAAAGTAGTTTCCGGAATACGGACCAAGGCATTAATGATAACATAGATATGAATGGGAGTCCAGCATACTATAAAAACAGCTACTACCACAAGGACCATTCTGGTGATCCTTCGGAGGTTTCTGTCTTTCTCCTTGGACCCAGAAAGCATTCGGACACTCTTCAGGCGTAAAATCATGAGTCCATAGCATACTGTGATGATGAGGACTGGCATGACAAAGGCAAAAATGAAAACACAGATTTTCAGCAGGTTATCCCAGTACCATGTTGGGTGAGAGAATGCAAGCGTGCAATCAATAGATCCTGTGGAAACAAAAGCAGAGTGATTTTTAGTGGAGGACTGCATTTTCTTAAATGTCTTTTCCCCACCCCTCATCACACATCCTAGCTGCATTATAATTCAACGTGAGTATGTTAAAAGGATTGCTAAAATGAAGCATTCATGCTGCTATTTTATTTTGCACCAATATTTTCCTGGCTGGGAAAAAAAAAATCTTCTGTCAAGGAATCTGGCACCAGTGAGAAACAGTCAGCAAGACGCACCCCTGAAAGACGGTGGAGGAAAACTCAAATGGTAGTCTTTAGATGGTGATATTTAAATTCTGTCAGGCCACAGCTGAGGAGACTTTCTCTACTGCGTACTTAGCCTCCACAAGAGCAGAGATTATGAGAAAAAGGAGGAGGAAAAAGGAGATAAACAAACTCCCTTCTTTCTGAAGTTGAGCCCCCCCCAACTGACAATGAATTGGGAAAAGCAGCCTTCAACATTCCCATATTATTTCCCCGTCAGAGAAGAAAGACATTTATAATGGCTGATTTTGAGTAAACCGCTGGCAGGGAAAGGGTTAAACTGTCAGATTAAAATGTAGTTGTTTTCTGGGTTTTTTTGTTCATTGGCTGTTGTGTTAGGTCCATGCTTATGTTCTGTTGTATGTCAATGTTTAATGATTTAAAAAATCCTGTTATATCTGTAGGTTTTTTATTATCATTTTTAATTGTTGCTGTTATATGCTTGGAATTTGTCAATGATTCTTATTCTGGCTTCAGCAGCCACTGACTACGGGCTCTCTGGGAGCAAAGATCTGCACAGCAGCTGGAGCCTGGGTCTTGCTTTCAGAGCACATAGAGGTCAAGGTCCCACTCCGGAGTTTTCTGGGTCCAAAGCAACATGCTGCATCATTGTCACTGGCCAAGTGAACTGGATGAATCAATGATGCTCTCTGCTTGGTGTAAGCCTTAAATAACTTGCAGAGGAAGAAGGCCCACCTGTTCTTGGACTCCTTTCAGCCAGAACTTGATTGAGGCCTGGTTCTGCAAAGAACAATATGTGCCTGAGCAATGGTCTGGCTCAGTGGCAGGAACTCAAGCCTGCTGTTTGGCGCTTTGGTGCCATTGTGCTGCTTTGTTACAGTCCTGCTATCTCTGCTGCTTCTGTTGGGTGGGAGGAGAACTAGAGGACTAGTGGTCTAGGATCTGACAATACAACGAAAGTGGCTGGCCTGGGGCACAAGGAGTTGGCGGCAGCATCTGCAGTTGAGGCTTCAGGAGCAGGTCCTCAGGATCCAGGTGTTCTGGGTTGGGGAGAGGGGGTGGGTCTTACAGTCCCAGGTGTCTCCTCTAGTCTTCCTCTGGGGGAGTCCCTGGTTCATCCTGGTCACCCTCAGATGAACAGTCCACTCCTGGGTCTGAGTTTGTCTCAGAAGGGGTCCTGACAGTTTTGTCCTTTGGGCTGGGAAGAAAGTGGCATGCCTTGGGGGAAGCGATACCCTATGGCAAAGGAATGATGTTTCTGTAGATATAACTCTCAATTAGCCTTAAATACTAGGAAATACTTTCCAATACCAATCGGGGCTGAGATAAAGTGATACCCACTCTTAGCTTAAGAGAGGGAGTTGCTGGGTGTCTGTGTGAAAAGAAAGTGCAGTTCAAGTGGCAAAAGTGATTGACAGAGAAACAGACTGCTGTGTGATGCTTAGTTGCTGGGTGTCTGTGTGAAAAGAAAGCGCAGTTCAAATGGCAGAAGAATGACAGAGAAACAGACTGCCGTGCGATGCCTGGGGATGGGGTTCAGGATTTCTCTCTCCGGGGATCAGATGTGGAGAGATAGATATGTTGCCCTGTAGGAGTGGCTCTGTGCCTCACCATGGACTTTGCTTGTAAATGTGTAAATAAAGCATACACTACAAAGCACCATATGTCTCCAGTGCTCTCTCTCCAAAGAGAACCAGATCAGGTAAGAGCTGTTAGCAGCAGTGGAGAACTGATCTGTTCCCACACATGCAGAGTTGCTTCCAATAACACTAACTGCAACAACAGAATTTTACAAAAATCAAAAAACCTTCAGGATATAAGGATTTACAGGCAGAGAGAGGGGAACACAGCAAGAGAAGCATTCAGTAGGTTCTGAACAGTAGACTGTACACACTGCAGCTTCCCTTACAGTTCAAATGGACTAAACACACAGTGTCAGTATTTACATTGATAAAAGTGCTCACTGCTGTCACCTGACACCTCTTCTCAATGGCATGTGTAGTTTTTCACCGTGTTCATTTGAATCTCACACCTTCCTGCCCAAGTGGCAATTCAGTGAGTGCCCAGTTCTTCTTTGTGTGAAGAGATTGTTTCTGTCCTTCTGTTACTTCTCTCTGCTTTCTGGCTTCACTTTCAAGCAGCATTGAGGTATCTTGCCATGCTATAAAGGGGTGACTAGAATGATAAAAGGGTTGGAACACCATCCCTATGAAGAAAGGTTAAAGTGCTTGTGTTAGATCGCGCTAACAAAGGACTCGTAGAGTGATTCAGCAAGTGATTCAGCTTTATTGGAAGTAACGAACAAGCACTAAACTCAGTAAGAAACCAGAACAGAAAACAGTGGGAGCTTATGCTCCTTTTAAACATAACCGGGCTAATGTAGCCACGCCTATTTACAATTAACAACCAATGAGATTGCTTAGTTAAGGACCAATGGGAGTCTTTCCCTCCTAGGGAATGGTATCGTTCTGATTGGTCGCTGTTACGAAGCGACCAATAGGAAGTTCGCTCAGAGGAGCCCTGGTCTGGCTCGAAGCTTAACACGGGAGTCCTATGAGGTGATTCATGTAATCATTTCAATACATTACAATTCCTCCCCCCTAAGTTAAGCCATCATCCCAATTGTTTTATTATTTACAAACATGCAATCAACCTTTGTACATCAGTTATTCCAACAGTATTTACACTCATAGTCCTTCAGATAAGTCGGCATTTGCCGCGAACGCTGGGACCACATTGGCTTATCTTATGTTCTTATGCTAGGATTAAGTTTCAGGTATTTTCTCAGCTTTGGCTATATAGGAAAGCCTACAGGGTTGAGTGCTAAATGCTTGTCAATGCGCTCTGTTCAATTTGCTTGTGGGATTGTTACTTGTCTTTGTTGAGTTCCACTTCCATTTCATTTCATTTTGTGATTTCTTTCTCAGTCATGGAAGGGTTTTCCAGTAATTTGAGGTTGCACCATATTTGGTCCTGGGGTCTCATCAAAGTATATTGCGCATCTTATGGCAGCCTTATGTGTCCTTGGGGGAAAAGGGCTCCATGTTCTTTACACTCATCACTGTAATCCACCTTCTGTAGTTCTCTTGTCCAGCTTTTAGAGTTTTTCTATGTGAATTTAGGCATAGGCTTTGTATCCAAATACTGATGTGCTTTTTGCTTGGCTTGGATGCATGCCACAATTTTGCTGGCAGAGTTTAAATAAGCAAGGAAGTGGAGCACTGACTGTTTAGAACAAAATAAGTAGGTTTATTAAAGAAGAACAAACTGTTATAGAACATAGAAGAGAGAGAGCCTTAACCAGGCCTGTAGCCAGGATTTTGTAATTCAGGGGGCCTTTAAATAAGTCGGGCGGCACTGACGTCATTTGGGGAAGCAAGCCATGCTTGGGGAAGGGGTAGTGGCAGTGGAGGGCTAGATGGAAGTTGGGGGGCCTTGGTAGGAAGTTGGGGGGGGGCAGGCCTCAAAATGCCCCACTATAGCTACCATCCTGGCCTTAACTGTCTAGGCTAACTGCTGAAGGAGGAACAACAAGAAGAAGGAAGCTCTGTAGGAGAAGGAAGTCTCCAGAAGAGCCAATCAGGAGACAGCAAGGACATAATTTGAAACTGTGGGCAGTCCATAATTTAGCTATGCTAACTAGCAGTCCTTCAGCTGTCCCCCTGTAGCATGATCTTCAAATCTTCTTCGTAAGGCTGCACTATAGACCTTGCATATTCCAACACCCCTTTTCAAGGTCTATTGTGCTAGTTAGTCCACAAGATTCATTCTTCTTCGTAGAATCTCAAATTTATCATGAGGAAGCGGTTTGGTAAGGACATTTACAATCATGTTCTCAGTGAAACAATATTTTAATTCAGCAGTGCACTACAGTCCTTGCATATTCCAACAAATTTATGTGCAGTGTTGTCAATGGCCTTCAATGGTAACCTATTTTGTAGATACGTTGCTGTCATAATCACCTTGCCCCAATACCTGTGTAATCTGGCATACGGTAATATGCATTTGGACATCTCAGCTACAGTGTGGTTCTTTCTTTCCACAGCTCTGTGCTGCTCAGGCATATATGGCACTGTTGTCTGATGCTCAATGCCCTTCAGGTATTTGTCCAACTCTTTAGCTACATACTCTCCTCCATTATCTGTGTGCAGTATTTGTGCCTTTCTTTGAAACTTGTTGCTGGCTGCTGCCACAAACTCTTGATGTTTTCCTGGCATTTCACTTTTCTGCTTCATCAGATATGTGACAATGTATTTGGAATATTCATCAATAATAGTCACCAGGTATTTGGTTCTATTTGGTGTGAAATTCCTCATAGGTCCACAAATATCACAATGGATGATCTCCAAGGGATGTGTAGACTTACTCTGACTGCTTTTGGTGAATGTGGTGTTTATTGCTCTTGCTTTTATGCAATACTAGAAATAAGGCCCGTTGTGGAAATAAATACAATGAACTCTAGAAAGAGGCTCTTGGAGAGTGCCAAGGCCTTGGGCACTCAGCGTCAATGTGCCATGGCGACCTCACCAGGGTATAATGACACAGAGTCCACCATTTTCTCCAGAGGAACTGATCTCTGCTACTTGAAGAGCAGTTGTAATTTTCAATGATCTCCAGCCCTCACCTAGAGATTGGCAACAATTGTTACTCAGGAGGAAATGGCTGGTTTGGAGGGTGGAGTCCATGGCATTGTACCTGTCTGAGGTCCCACCCCTCCTCAAACTTCACCCTCTCCAGGCTCCACCCCCCCAAATCTCCATTTGGGGTAACACCTATGTTTGGATTCCATAACACATAAGTTGCTTCTGGGCTACCTCATCTCCATGAGGCAGCAGTCCCAGACTCTCCACTCCACAGCTCCCTTCGATTCCTCGGAGGGGGGGGAGTGCTTTATATGGGCTGTTATATGGTGATATTGGTGATACAGGGTCACTCATAGCTGTGTTTTTTGTTTGTTTGTTTTCCTCTCAGTTGTTTGGATCACAGAATGAAGGGAGCATAACTCCACAAAATCTTATTGTGTATAGCTACCATCTATAAAATATCAGCCTGGAATTTATGACATTAATCATTGACTGATTTGAATGATCTGTGGATGTAATCCCAAGAACACTTTCCTGGGAGTAAGCTAGGGTTGCCAGGTCCCCCACAGCTATTGGCTGGGGATAGGAGGATAGGGTTGCCATTTCCACCCTCCAAAGCATCCATTTTCTTCAGGGGAACCGATCTCTGTAGCCTGGACATGAGTTATAATTCTGGGATATCCACCGATCCCACTGGGAGGCTGGCATTCCTAGAGTAAGCCCCACTGAATAAAGTGGGATGGCTCCCTGACTCTCTTTTCTATGGAGTTCTTAAAGCAGTATTCACTGGTAATAACGAAAACTCTAAGTAAGGCAGTTTAAAACTATTAAGCAATGGAACATCACAGAACAGTAAATCGGCATCAGAATACAATTCTGATTTTGTGGGCATTTGTTTACTTCACAGCTCTGGAGTAGTCCTTTAATTGGTAAAAGTCCAGTACATTTTCATGAAACTGTGTGAGAGAAGAAACCTATCAGAATTTTTTTTAATGTCACTCAAATGACCGGAACACATTTACTGAGATTTTAGTAGGTTTTAATATGAGTAAGCTGCTCTGAGTCCCATTGATTGAGAGAAAAGTGGGGTGTAAATAAATATCTAAGTATCAAACATTTAAACAATGAAAACAGAAGGCAAGGTTTCTAAGTGATCTTCAGACTGACTGAAGTAATATTGATCACAGCTGATAATTGATACATTCTGAATAACTCAGATAGTGTAATGGAAACATTCATAGCTGTCTTCATTCATATTCTGTCAGTTCTTTTGTGTCAGTAGAAAAAGAGTGAGATAACTAACAACTCAATATGAAACATCTGCCATCTGTTCCTATAAGGAAAGGCCATCTTTCATATTCTCCTGTGCATTCTCTGCAGTAGAAACAGATTCAGTCCAAAATGATCTCAAAAACAAACAAGTCTGCCTTTACGCTTAACAGAATCTTGATTTTAAAATAGTTTTCACTAAGTAATAAATCAAAGCCTTTTAAAATATAAAGCTTTAAAACATAAATGTTTGAATAACATAAAATAATAAGTTTATTGCTGCTGGCTGCTGCTCACGGAGAGAGTTGTATATGTACTTATTACCACATACTAGTAAACAGGGCTCTTTCTGTAGAAAAAGCCCAGCAGGAACTCATTAGCATAATAGGCCACACCCAACAGCAGGAACTCATTAGCATATTGGGCCACACCCCTGACAGCACAGCTCATTAGCATACTAGGCCGCACCCCCATGTTACTAGAAGTGTGGTTATCCAGCCACACCCACCTTTTGCTTGTTATTCTGTTGACCTTGTTTGTTGTCAAAACCCAGGGCTTTTTTGTAGCAGGAACTCCTTTGCATGTTAGGCCACACACCCCTAATGTAGCCAATCCTAATGAGTTTCTGCTGTTGGGTGTGGCCTATTATGCTAATGAGTTCCTGCTGGGCGTGGCCAACTTGGGAGCCAGCCAGAACTCCGTTCCTGTGTGTTCCTGCCCAAAAATAGCCCTGCTAGTAAACAGTACTAGCATTCTGCATATATAGGAATATGCTTCTGTCTGATGCTAGAAAGCCCCTCCCCCAAATCCTGGTCTGACTGAAGCCTGTGAAGACATGACAATAGCCCAGCAGTCCATTTCACATTCCACTTTGCATGTTCTTGCTGAAATGATGCTCACAGTTACGAGGTAAATTCATTTAATAGCTAAGTGTAAAACTGTCCTATTCTGAAACTTTTAAAATAATCATTGCGTCCTGGACTATGTGAATACCAAATACACATCAAATATAAAATCAAATTTCAGCTTTTTGGGTGGCCCAGAATTACATAAACTATTTGGAGGTACACATTGTTGCCAGGTCATCGCTTGCAAATGTCAAGTTTTTCTAGTGAGCAGGAGGTCTTGGGCTTTCTGAATGCCAAATTTCAGCTAGTTGTTAGTGTACAAATAGCACCATTTTGGAAAGCATTTGGGATTCCAATTTTGATAGAGGTATATTATTGTAAAATTTTTGGATGTTTCTAATACTTGAGTTGCTTAGGAAAGTATCATCATAATTCAGATACCTGGGTGAGTGATGCCCAGGTATGTCATATACTGACATAGATGGAAATGGAAAATGGAATCCTTACTTACCATTACTTTCTTTTGTGGTTGCCATGATCATAACTGGGATACCAATGGCTGAAGAGACAATCCAGTTGCAGACATTGACAATTTTGGCATTTCTGGGGGTGCGGAAATCGAGAGCCTTGACTGGGTGACAAACTGCTATATAACGATCCACACTCATGGTGCAAAGAGTGAAAATGCTTGTGAACATATTGTAGTAGTCTATGGAGATAACAATCTTACAAATGGTTGTACCAAATGGCCATGTTCCCAAGAGATAATTCACACTTTGGAACGGCAGTGTACTTGTTGCTAAGGCATCTGCCAGGGCAAGATTGAAGATATAGATGTTGGTTGCAGTCTTCATTTTGGTGTATCTAGAAAAGTCAGCAAAGTAGAAGAATGAAAATGTGTACCAAGATCAAATGAAAACAAGACTCAGCTGTAGGAAATCTTCATGGAGTAATAGTGTTGGATCCCAGGCAAGATCTCCAGTGACAAAAGGATTTTTCCCCCTCAAAGTAAAAGAACACCTCTATCCTCCTTCCCTCCCATAACAGCCCAACATTTCTCTCTAAATTCTGCTCCTGGTTTTGTTGGAGACAGAGGAGAGCATGAGGAGAATCAGAGGTCTTCTATGTGGGTGTATCAGCAGATCCCTTCTGTCAGCAGAAACTTCAACTGGATCCAATCTTGAATTTTTACCTTGCTCCAGCAAAGCAATCCACACTTACCAAATTCTCCTAAGTAACATATAAAGGAGGAAAGAGGAAGCTGGAACCACTTGTGCCAAGCAAATGACACATGTTAATGGAAGACTTTAGCAGAGTTTTATCCTGTGTGGTACAATTAGCGTTGCCAGGTCTCTCCAATTAGCTGGCGGGGGATGGGGGGGTGCACTTACCAGGAGCAGGAAAGAACACCTGGCATTTCAGTGATGTGCCTACATGACCCGGAAGTGATGTAGGCACACTGGGGATGTTGAGAGCGATGCTCTGGTTTTGGGTCAAAACCCCAGAGCATTGCCCCTGTTGCCCACAAACCAGAGCATTGCCCCCAATGTCCCCAACATGGTTATGTCACCTCCAGGTCATGTAGGCACATTGCTGAAATGCTGGGCAGTCCTCCCTTTTTTTGGGGGGAGTAATTCCCTCCATCGGCCAGGTGGTTGCTGGTTGAGAGGTGGGGCCTGGCAGTGGGGGGTGTGTGTGTGGCATCCCTAGGCACAATTCACAGTTGGACTACACAGAGATTTCCTTTGAGGTGGTAGGTAAGACACGCAGTGTTACATTGACCCAGATCTTGCCATCTCTGGAACAGTCATCGATCCCTTATGTGGATGCAACCCTGAGCCGAAGATTTTAGTGTATCGCTCTGCCTCACTTGCCATATGTAGGATGCTCCTTTAAACCTCTAATTGTGCTACTGGTACTTAGAACCAGGCTGCCTGTCCCACTGAATAAAGCTCTGTTATCTTCCACCAAGTACTTTGGTTTAACGGCAACAAATCAACATTTAATTCAAGAAACGTACCCTTGAATTAAACTAAAGCTACAAACAAACATGGAGCAATGTCCAGGAGGACTGATAAGAAGGAAGATCAAGATAGGTAGCCGTGTTTGTCTGTCTGTAGTAGGAGAAAACATTAAGAGTCCAGTGGCACTGTTGTATACTGGGTATGTTGGAGGAAGACTCAGTGATTCAGCATAGTGATCAGCTCAGTTTATTAGCACATGTATACACAACAACAACTAGCCCACGAGGTCCTGTATTTATTGGGTTCCCAACCCATTCCTAGTCCGCTCCCCTCTTCCTACTGGTGGGTTTGAATTTCCCTTCAGGGATCCTATTGGTGTTCCTAGGATCCTTGGTCCCTTTGTTATTCAGGACCAAGCTTGGACTAAGGATCATATTGGTGTTCCTAGGATCCTTGGTCCCTTTGTTATTCAGAACCAAGCTTGGACTAAAACGCTGGCTTCCTAGTGACTCTCTGCAGACACAACAGGCACCTTAAAGACAAAATTTATGGTAGGGTATGAGCTTTCATGAGGTATCTGAAGAAGTGAGCAGTGACTCACAAAAGCTCATACCCTATCACAAATTTTATTAGTCTTTAAGGTGCTACTGGACTCTTACTTTTTTCAACTGATATAAGAAGAAAGTTTGATGTCTTTCTTTTTATGATTTAAGGTCACTGGCCTTTCTCCCCCTTGACTGGGTATACTGAAAAACAGCTGCTGGCAAAATAAAAAATAGAGTCTAGGGCCATCGTGTGTCATCTTAGACCATTTCCACATAGGTTACTTGTCTTGGGTTCTTTGCTGTTTGAGTCTTGGGTTCTTTGCTGCTTGAAAGGCATCCCCCCCCCTTCCCCACAGCACTGTGGTACATTTGTGCCCTGTCCAGAGTTTCCATGGCTTCCCCTGATATCTCCGAAACCTGCTTTGTTCTAAATTTTAGGGAAAGGTCATAGCAAAGCCTGGATGGCTACTGTGCGGGTGAGACAGTTCTAAACCTTCCATTCACCTGCGGTGGGGAATTATCTGCTCTGTCCCAATTTCCCACCCTGAGGAAATGAGCAGTGGGAGAAAAATAGTTTCCATGCTGTGATGATGTAGGAATTTCCTCTAGGTTAAGGCAGCCTAGAGGGTTACCTAAAAGTAACATCACATCCTTTCAAAATTTTGCCCTCCCTAGGCAGTGCCCCTCCCAAATCTCCCAGCATCTGTCAAGACAGTATAGCAAACTGTAGAAAGTTCAGCCATTTTCTCCACAGTGGCCATCTCCTCCCCTTAACACTGGGGGTTCTTTTTAAAAATCAGCAACTGAATAGTGGTATCTTCTGATATATATAAAAGCCCTGGTGTATTGGCACTTTCCAGCTCTCTGTGCTGTGTACACCATCAGCCTTTGGCCCATCAACAGCCATTCAAGAGTACTCACATGCCATTGGCTGGGTGCTGGGTCCACTCCTCTCCCCTGCCCTCTGCCAGCCTGACAGAATAAACTGCCAAAATGGCTGTCTCTCCTGACAGACAATTCTACTTCTGCTTGGCTCCTCTGCGACAGGCTGGCTAGTGTAGAGGGCCATCAGCTGTAAAACCATTCCCTTCTCCTCCTGCTGTGGGTCTAACTTTTCCCTCAGTGGCTGTTGCTAGGCAATCAAGCTTGGTTCTGTCAGTAAAAAGACAAAGGCAGGAGGCCCTTTCCAGGCCTATTTTGGCCTTTGTAGGGAGCTCATTGGGGCCAGTCCTGACTAGGGTTGCCAGTTCCAGGTTGGGAAATTCTTGGAGATTTTGTGGTGGAGTCTATGGAAGCCAGAGTTTTGGGAGGGGAGAGCTGAATACGATGCCATAGACTCCACCCTCCAAACTAGCCATGTCCTCCTGGGAAACCATTATTGCCATTCTCCAGGGGAGGGCTGAGATCACTCAGAATTGCAACTGATCCTCAGATGGCAGAAATCAGTTCCCCTGGAAAAAAACAGTAAGCTCTGTGTCATTATACCCTGCTGAGGTCACCACAGCAAATTGATGCTTAGTGCTCAAGGCCAGGGCACCTGCCCAGAGCCTCTTTCTAGAACTTATTATATTTATTTCCACAATGGGCCTTATTCCTAGTATCAATATAATGTTATAACAATATGTGTAATAGGTCCACTGAATTTCTCGCTTTCATTGTATCAAAAAACTTCTCTCTCCCTCCTTCAGGAATTCTGTGCACTCTTTATGTCCTCATGAGGAAGAAGGTGGCTGCTTTGTAGAAGTGAAACCAGTGAAAAAGTCAGACAGAGACAGACTGAAAAAAATCAATTAAAAACAGAAAAGAAAATATTTTTCTTACATTCTGTTTAGATGGAGAATTAATTTCATTTTCAAATTATACCTATAATTACAAAACACCCTATTTTTGTAACTATTGTAATTAATATTGAAAGAAATGTAAAAGTCTAATTTCCAAGATGTTGCTGTATCCATCCATGCAGCTAACAATAGCTTTAGTATAGTTTTTAAATCTGTAATATCGTTTTTAAATCTGTATTTTTCACATATTATAATTTCGGTTTATAACTACTGCACTGTCTTCCACTATCATTCTACTCAGATGCAATGCATCATAAACTGAAAAAATGAAAGTTAAGCAAAAGAAATGGTTTGGACGTTATGACTCCTGAATTTAGAACAGAACAGTTCGGAGGTGGAAAGAGGTAGCAAATAGGTAGCAACTAAACTCAGAGGCAACAGCCTTGAAACCACACAAAATATCTCAGACTGTTCAATTCTTTTCACTTTGTACATTTTTAGCAAGGCTCTTGGGCTGTAAAAAGACTTCATTTCATGGCTTTTATAGAGTACTCATGAAAAATTTCACAGAATGGGCCATGCAACATTTACTCAACTGCTAAGCCTGAGGCTCCACGAGATGCCAATGGGGCAGCACACTGGTTAATTAATGTGTCTGCCCCATTCATGTACAAAGTGGGGATAGGGAGATTAATGACAAAAGGCATCCTGGTGCCTGGAGCTGACTCCTACTGCCTCTTCCCCCAGCTATCTTTGTTTCACCTCATTGCTACAGGGAATTTTGCCCACAGCCTGGCTCACTGGAAGAAAAAGGGCCTGCTTTGATGGGAAGATTCAGCTGTCACCCTGAATATTACATTAGCTGATCTCAAGGAATGGATTTCCATTTACAAGGAAACATTCATTTTAGAATAATTTCTACTAGATAATTATTGTTTTAAATATATAATTCAGTTTCAGTAAAGAAATTTAAATTTGGATAGTCCTATCTTAAAAGCAGTGGTCCTGGGATAGTATAACGTGAAACCTTGATTGAGCCCTGGGCTTTCTCTGTTGACCTCCATTTTCTATAATGAGTAATCACACCAAATCAGGTTTTAAAGTGATTATACGTTTTAAAGGTTTGGACTATAGAATACCTAGTTAGTAATGAGCAGGTTTTGAGCTATGAGGAAATTACCTTTCCACTAGGCAAGAGACCCTTTTTGTTTCATTTTTTCCCAGTTAGATACATGCTTAATTCTGTAGTAGGAAAATATAGCTATTTAAGATCTTTAACCTTGTTTGAGGTGATAATTAGTACAAATAATATATTTAGAGGATCTATTGTAAATATCCCTTTTGTTTGAATATACAGAGATCTCTTTTAGTTACCACAATAAATGGAATAGGGATTTACAGACAGATATCAGACTACAGACTGTGACTGCAGCCATGAAATTAAAAGATGTCTGCTCTTTGGGAGGAAAGCGATGGCGAACCTAGACAGCATAATAAAAAGTAGAGACATCACCCTGCCAACTAAAGTCGTATGGTCAAAGCAATGGTATTCCTGGTAGTTCTGTATGGCTGCA